TCATTGCACTGCTTCTAGTAATACATTAGTTCATGTGTTGTAATTTTTGGTGATCGTCTGCATAGCCTGCCTGTAATTTCCTGATTTTGAATTCTTATGATAACCTTTACTTTTCTTAATACATAAAAGAATATACGACTAATAGTAATAGAAGAGAGATAAAGTTTGACTAAAAGGTGACTAGTGTACTTTGTGGAGATGCAGATGGGTTGTTGATAATCAGATTCATATAAATAAAGTCCTGAAATTGAACCATTAATTTTTTCATAGTTGATGTGTTGTATCATTGGGTTATCGTGATTAATAATAATTTATTTTTCTTGCAGTTGCTATGCAAATGCTGTCTTGCAGTGCTTAACCTGCACAAAGCCTCTCATTATCTATTTGCTTCGCAGATCACATTCAAGAGCCTGTACTTACCTTTCCTCATATCCCTTTAATCTTCCAAGGAATTTCCATGTCGGCGTTTTGTTTATAAGCACATTGGAATCACTTTTGCTTGTGATATGTACTAGGTTGTGGTAAAGATTGGTGTCTCATGTGTGAGCTGGAGCAACATGTGATGATGCTACGAGAAAGTGGGGGCCCACTTTCTCCTAGCAGAATTCTTTTTCATATGAGGAGTATCAATTGCCAAATTGGTGATGGAAGTCAAGAAGATGCACATGAATTCTTAAGGTCTGTCTAAACTTACCAGTTATGTGTTCCTTTTCTTAATACTGATGTGCAAGCATTTGTATCTGTACCAACCTCCATATGTATTCAGCTTTAGAAATTATATTTAAAATATTGAAGTTTCAAATTTTGTGGAAGGAATTTTAGTATATCATGTGCGGTATTTATCCAGGCTTCTAGTTACGTCAATGCAATCTATATGCTTGGAGGGGCTGGGTGGTGAAAACAAGGTTGATCCTAGATTGCAAGAAACAACTTTTATACAACATACATTTGGCGGACATCTCAGATCAAAGGTGCTTATTGCGTATTTGCGCACTTCTCAAGTTGTTATAAATCCTTTTTTCATCGAACTGCTCTTTGTTTCCCTTGTTTTTTAAGTTATGTTCTTCTTTGCCCACACTAATCATGGATGTATCAATGTTAATGCCACCAGGTCAAGTGTTTGAGATGTCATCATGAGTCGGAACGATATGAGAACATCATGGATCTTACCTTAGAGATATTTGGTTGGGTTGAATCACTTGAAGATGCGTTGACTCAGTTTACAACCCCTGAAGATTTGGATGGAGAAAACATGTACAGATGTGGAAGGTCTGGTAACCTAAATTTAGTATTTGTTAGAACCCAGGTTATGTATGAGTTTTTAGTTTTACAGTAGAACTTCAGTGACTTACAAAATCACATTTTTTGCGGAAAAGGTGTGCTGCATATGTTCGAGCCAGGAAGCAATTGAGCATACATGAGGCGCCAAATATCCTTACAATTGTCTTGAAGAGATTTCAGGTATTGATTAGATTTAGCATTGAGACTTGAGAGTGAAGAATTTTCTGGTTTTTGGTTCGAATCACAATTCAAATCCCTAGTCATCTCGTGCTTCCAACTTCCACCCATGAAAAAAGGATTATCAGATTTGGCACCTTCCTGCTAGATAACTGTAGGGCTTTCTGGTTTTATATGCTGGGCACTACTTCTGTTGCTGGAATCCTAAATAACAGCTGGTTCTTCACCAGGAGGGAAAATATGGAAAAATAAACAAGTGCATCACTTTTCCAGACATGCTGGATATGATTCCATTTATGACTGGAACGGGTGACATTCCTCCTCTTTACTTGCTCTATGGTGTTGTGGTGCATTTGGATACGCAGAATGCATCTTTCTCTGGACATTATGTGGCATATGTGAAAGATATGCGAGGCGATTGGTTCAGGATAGATGACACTGAGGTAAACACCTTTTCTAATCAACATTTTAGTGCATGGCTTTGGGGATTTTGTGATAATGATTTAAATTTGTTTTCCTTAAACACAAATAAAATGGAAGTTCAATCTGAATGTACCTGCTGAGTGCGTGTAAATATTGGAGGAATCCCAATTTGCTAAAAAAAATCGAAGTCGGCGAAAGAGCCTTCATTATCAGTGTCATGATATTGATAAGACATTAATACCTGTAGTTTATTCCATAACAACAAATGGAAAGGGTCTCTGGGTTAGAATTCCTTTTATTTGCTTTCCTTGCATTTATGCCTTTTGAGTGTTGACATGGTTTCCCTTGGTGCATATGCTTGACAGACAAAGGAATGATTTATATTTCTTGTTTTATTTTCCGTCAATGAATTTGGGTCCTAAGGTTGGTCATACTTCATAAACAGGTTCACCCCGTTTCAATGAGCCAGGTTATGATGGAAGGAGCATATATCTTATTTTACATGAGGTGAGTCTTATTGGCGTTGAAAAGAACCCACCATGATCTCTTTCCTTACCGTTTCTTTATTGGGAGTTTTAGCATTCATATGATTGTATGTTGGAATATATTAGCATTTAGTAGATAGTACGAACTAAGGTGGTTGTGAACTGGGAGGGGTTCAATTGGTGGTGTTCTACATATTCATCTTTCTTTCCCAGGTCTTGTCCCCGCCCTCACAGAGGATTTTCTGGAAAAGCTATCAGGGAGCAAGTTCCAAATTTAGAAAATCAATGCACATCGAAAGCTCAGAAGTCATGGCCAGGCCAAAGCAAACACAGCAGCCAATTTGCTAGTCCAGAGCATTTACCAGATGATATCAGGCCAGAGATTGCAAATGGCTTTGGCAACAGCATCACTAATGACATCCGCAGGAGTTCTAACGGGAATGTTTTCCCAATGATGGAAACATATGGTGAGCCCATGGGCGTGGAGTTCTCTGATGCTACGTCAAGTGATTGGTCCCCTTTTAGTTCTGATGAGGCCTCTTGCACGACTGAGAGTACTAGAGACTCTTTCAGTACTGTGGATTATGCCGATGCTTGCAATATGGATCCAATCTCTTCAATTTTCAACACGTTATATGCACCGGAGTATTCTCGCAGTTCTGCATCCTGCAGAAAATTTTCAAATAGTAGGCCACACACTAGATTTGTTTCCAAGGATAAGGGTGTTATTTTTGATTCGTACTTATCAACCCATCCTGTTGACAGAGCACAGAAACAAAACTATTCAAGAAAGGTCAGTGATTCACGAACTGAACACCCTCTGGATACTAAATGCAGCTCGTTTGTAAGATATGGGACTAACCCAATACATAGTCTTGACCGAACCTCGGATCATTGTAAACTCTAATCTATATGAGATACTGATTGAATAGATTATTTAGTCTGGTAGGAGCTGTGTCCCAACATTTTTGTTTTCAATGTATTGTTGATTGGGGCATGTTTCATATCAAAACAAGTAAATGTAACAATCTTCTTCTTAGCGATCTAATTAACACCGGAAATTGTAGAGTCCCGGGATTTTACTTTGCTTCAATCTGTCTTCGGAATATCTTTTGCTTACGAATAAACTTTTGTTTCACCTGTAGCTCATAAAATTTGGTGAAACTATTTGCTACCAGCTGAAGTTCTTTGAAGGAGATGTTCTTTACTTTTACTTGGAAAAGTTAAAATCCATGGGTGCCTACCTTTGGAATCTATTGCTAGATGGTAAACTGTGAAAAAGTTTGACACTAGTAAGTAGTAAAAAACATCATGCACAGGAAAAAGAAGGTAAAAATAATTAGCAGGTATGGACTTCCCACTTTAACATGCTGGAAGTAGTTATTGTTTCGCTTCTCATTGCTTTCAATATTTAAGTGGAGATTTTTTTGTAGGGTTAGTAGTCCTTCTATAAGGATATGTTCTCAACTTTTTATGTTGAGGCTAACTATTTTCAATTATCAAAACCGTTTATATTTTTGCTCTTCATTCAAAAATCATTTTTGCAAAAAATCATTTAAATATAAAGGTGTTAGATCATCTAAAAAGCGCAAAAAATCATAGTTTATTAGATAAAGTGAAAATAAAAATACTGACAATCAAACGACTAAACAATTGTTAATACAGTTTCGATCATTGAACCACTCTTTGAGAATAGGATATGCTTTAACTTTCTTAAGAACATCATCAACTTAAAACATGAATAGATGTTTGGTTGAATGCTCAATAAATTTGAACAAATTAAATGATCATTGGACCACGGGAAATCTTAATATGTTGTCATTCTTTATTAACTCATACAAGGTAAAATGTTTGAATGTGTTACACCACAACTTTAAGCACCAGCCCTATCACTTTTAACTTTAAGCATCAACCCTATCACTTTTAGTACCAATGACGCCATTTCTTGCAAAGCGTTACTCAACATAAACATGTCCCTAAGAAAGAAAAATTAAAATATGAAAAGAATAATGATGTGTGACTCTATTCTCCAACACCCGAAATCCGTCTCGATGAAACCAAGAAGAATCGAAGGCATTTTCCGCAGTAGGCACACACTCCACGCCAATGTTCAATCAAGGACTCTAGTCCGCAATATAATGCTTATCTAGATATCTATCTAAAACCAACCATACCAAAAAAGGTAGTGATGTGTGCACACTTTTAGCATCTTTATGCAATTATGCTTGGTTTTTGTCCGTTGATTCATTCTTGGATTTATTAATCTAAAGGGTAGAAACAAATTGAAAAATGTATGAAAAAAAAGGAGAATATATCACATGGGAGGAAGATTTATGTAAACAGGTTCAAGCAATAAAAAAACATATTTAAAAAAAAAATTATTATTATCATTTCAAAAATCTCATTTAATTTTTGAGATGCTAGAAGGAGCCATGTGTCTGGCAGCTTCGTCCACCTTTAAGAGCACGCTTTGGACGGCCTGTGTTGAAAGTGAATGCTATTATTAGTATCCTAAGTTTTTTATTATTTAAATAATTTAGATATTTTAGGTATTAGGGTTCTTTTAAGTTTCTCTATAAATGTATTTGATATGCACGTCAGAACCACCGCCCCAACGCCTGCACCCAGGGGCCAGAGCCCCTACATCTCTCCTCATCTGTCGTGAAACAGAACCTTGATGAGATGAATCTTCCATCCGCCTGAATCACGACCTGACGATCGCAACCAGATTTGAACCCAACCCGATGCTGTCTGACCGCACCCGATCACCATTCACCCACACTTCACGAAGCCCAGACCCTAATCAGTCCCGCACCGCCAGATCGACCCACCTACATCGTCGCCGTCCCCGCATCGTACCAGACCCGGATCCCATCTGCTCGCCTGCCGCACCACCATCAATCCATCTGACCTTGGTCCTTCATCCTCCTCAGCCGCTTGCAGCTGCCTCGGTCCTCCTCCTCTAAGGTATTTGCTTACTCAAAAATCAATTTCGAAATATGTGTTTCTATTGCTTGATTGTTTATATGATCTTTGCTAAGCTTTTAAGTGTGTCGATTATCTTTTCTTTTTAGAAATTGGGCTATAAGGTTTGCACATGTAATTTATCTGGTTATATCTCAAGTTTCATTTGTACCTTAATTCTGTTATATCTGATACGGCCCTCTCAAGAGTAAATCCCTTTGGTTGGTTGATCAGTCAACAATCACAGTTTGAAATATCTAATCCCTGAACAATATCAAGATCATCTGTCCAATGTGTTCCTTTTTTATTTTTCCTTGGCGTTTTGGGACGATTAGTCTACGTTGTTCCTTAATCTTTGCTCAATATGGGTCTCCAAGACTCTAGTCTTACCTTGACCATTACCTCTGATCAGATTATCAAAGCAATGGCTGAAGGTGAGGATGAATCCTTGGAGATTTGAGCTCCCCTGCTTTCAAAGAGATTGGATTGCTTTGGGGTGTGGGAGATGAGCTGCAGCAACTTGAGCTGATTGTTGCCCAACTCTAATTTGTGCTCCTTGACTTAAAGCAAAAGCAAACCAGTTATGAAGTGATCAAAGTGTGGCTCCAATGTGTAGGCGATTTAGTTTTTGAAGTTGATGATGTGCTAGATGAATTCCGTACTGAAGCTCAGTGGAGACCTTCATGGCTGAAAGGAATACAGTGATTAAAGAAAGTACGTATTTTCTTCCCTAGTTCGAACCAATTTGTTTTTCGGATGAAGATTGCTCATAAGATCATAGATGTTAGAAAGAAATTTAATGTTTTTGCATTACTTAGACGTTTTTAGTTAGAAGAGTTGCTTACTTAAGATCTTACAGTTTCAAATTAGTGAGAGAGTGAGTTATTTGTTTGTGCATGCGGATAATGTAGTTGAGAGAGAGATAAAAGGGCAATGATTCAACTCTTGTTGAATCTTATATGTCAAGGTATTATATTCTTCGTTTTGATTGTTGGGATAGGAGGATTGGGCAAAATCGTAATTGCCCAACTTGTTTTCCATGACGAAGAGGTGGTTAAAAGTAATTTTTAGCTGAAAATGTGGGTGTGTGTGTTTAACACACATTGACTTAATACACTTGCCAAAAAGATTATTTAATCTGTCACCAAGGAAAAATCCAAAAACCTTGAGATAATCAAATGCCAAAAAAGAATCATGAAGAAGATAGATTTGAAAAGGTTCCTTCTTGTGTTAGATGATGTATGGAATGAGAATCTTTAGAAGTGACTTAGCTTTGCTGATAGGTGTTGCAAAAGTTAGTAGAATACTAATAATTACTCATAGTGAAATGGTTGGTACGGGATTAGACACATCCAAGCTGTACATTTTAAAGGGTTTGGATAAATAAAATCTTGTTTGTTATTTAAGAGAATTGACTTTTTAAGACACGAAAAAGCCAAGGAATGCAACAATTAAGACAGTAAGGGAGGAGTCTGTCAGTAATTATCAAGGAGTTTCGCTTGTCATGAAGGACGATATGTCAGATGATGTATGCTGGAACGTGGAAACTAAGTGGCTGAGTTTTAAGGGTAAAATGCTTTCAAGAATAAGTAAAAAATAAATTGATATTTTGCCCACTCTCAGTTACAATGGTCTTCCAGCAAATTTCAAGCATTGTTTGCTTATTATAACTTATTCCTACCTGATTATGAGATGTCTGTACATGAGTTAATAAAACTTGGGATGACGCTTCATTAAGTCTTCAAATGAAAATAATAATTTGAAAGATATTAATTATAGATATTTTATGGAATTACCTTGGAGATCTTTTTTATGTAATTATTTTACAGAGTAAACTTGCAGGAAAAGTGATCTCCAATGTAATTACATAAAATATCTTTAACCAATATCTTCCAAATTGTCATTTTCTTCTAAAGACTTAATGAACCCTTGTGCCATCCAAAGTTTAATTAATTTTTGCACATAAATCTAATAATCGGGTGGGAAATAAGCTACAATAAGCAAAACAATGCTTCAAATGCGTTGGGAGAACATCGTAACTCAACTTAGGTGTGAGAAAAATATCAGTTTCCTCGACTTAAAGTCTTTTATTCTTAACATCAGCCACTCCGTTTCCAATTGTTCAACATATATTATCCGAGCTATCGTTCTTATAGCAAGCGGAACTCCTAAACAATTGCTTGCAATCTCCTTCCTATTGTCTTAGTTGTTGCATTCCCCGACTCTTTTCCATCTTCAAAAGTCATCCTCTTAAAAAATGAGCAATTTATCTAGACCCTTTAAAACTACGTCTTTGATGTGTCTAATCTCATGCCAATAGTTTCACAGCGAGTAGTTATTAGTATTCTACTAACTTTTGCACCACGTATCAGTAACTTTTTCAAGCTAAGCAACTTCTAATGATTCTCATTCCACACATCATCTAACACAAAAAAGAATCTTTTCCCATCTATTTTCTCCCTGATGATTTTTTGCATTTGATCTTTTTCAAGGTTTTTGGGTTTATATAGTGGCAGAAATATAATATTTTTGTCAAGTGTCTGCAAGTCAATTTGTTTGACACACACCCACATTTTCATTGAAAATTATTTTGAACCATCTCCTCATCATGAAAAATGAGTTGGGCAAGTTCGGTTTTGCCCAATCCTCCCATCCCAATTATCGGAACGATGGATACATTTTCTTGATATATGGGATCCAACAAGAGTTGAACAGTTGCCCTTTTATATCTATTTTTCTCAACTATATTATCCGCATGCACAAACGAATGGCTAGCCATCTCTCAAATTTGAAACCGTAAATCTTCAATTAAGAGTTCTTCCAATTGAAAACTCCTACTTAAATGTGATAACATTAAGTTTCTTCGTAATATCTTTGAACTGGTGGGCAATTTTTATTTGGAAAGCTAGTTGATTCGATTTAGAGAATAAGATCCGTGCTTTATTTGGCACTGGATTTCTTTCCAGTGATGAACGTTTCTCTCCTGAGCCTTAGTGTGAAACTCATCCTGCAAATCATCAACTTCAAAATACTAAGTTGTCTTTTGGAACCACATTTTGATCTCTGCATTACTGGCATGGTGGACATTTATGAAGACGATCCAGGCGTGTACAAAGGCATGACGCATCGCTCACAAAAAGATGTTCATCTCTTGCATGATCAGTTGAAGATTAATTAAGACATGTCATACCATACGTACATACAATAAACATGTGGTTTTGAAGTATACCGGATTAGGTTGGTAACGACCGGAGCCGTTACAATAACACAACCGGCTAACATGACCCGAACTCACAAGAAAATTGCAGTTGTGTTGAAGTATACCGGGTTAGGTTGGTAACGAGTGGAGCCGTTAATCACCCGTTACAATGTATAACGGTTGGTTTTGGTCAAATTGCAAATCACTAATTACTCGAGTAAGGAAATTTAGTAATTTCTTAGATAGTTTAACAAGAACTAGTCCATATTTTTCTTATGTTGTATATATTTCTACAGTATTTGGCTCTTTAGCATACTAGTTATTTGGATTTGAACTTGTTTTTTGTTTTCAATTCACATCCTGTGATTAGCATATGGGTAGCATTTCGAAATTCAAACTGCAAAAGCATTCAACGCATGAACTATCGCACAATTCTAATATTCTATTACCGCAGAAATTAGAACCATGAAATATGAATAAACGAACTTCACTACAGTAGCAGCAACGACATCAGTCCACTGTTTAAATTCATCACGAGTTATTATATTAGTCAAAAACTCAAAACGACATAGTCACCAATCAAAGTGTTGATGAACATAAAAATCCGGAAAACAAAGAAATAAAATGTTCATAACATGCAACGTTCTGATCGCACTGCTATAATCAAATTACCTGTTCTATCTATTTCTTAGTACGACTCCGCATTGGTCTTGTCCAGTAAGATGAGGCACCCTTCATGAAAATGAGCCGAGCAAAATTGAAATCCGGAAATCCCAAGATTTCGAACTTCTTTGCTCACAAGGTCCAGTGATGCCAACTCGTGACTTGATTCTTTGCTCGGCAACAACAATACTTCACCACACTGTCTAAAATCTTTCCAGACCTTGTGGACCGAGAGTCATCAATTTGGTCCACGAATCCTTTCTGCCGTACTCTTTCGTTACCCATATATCAAGAGCATAATCTTCAGACCCCATATCCAAGATAAACAGAGCAACAGCTTTTTTATCTCCTGTAACAGTCAATCGCAATTCCAACTCAAACCTCCATTTAAAAGTGTGTGGCAAAGACATCCGACGAAACACCTCAGCACAAGTCAAATTTCAATACAAAATAGTTACGTTCATCCTTTGTGTTCCGACACACAGGCCAATGAAGAGCCCCATTAACAAAAACATTGGGAGCAGCTTTATCTATCAGACATGCAGGAGAAATGCAACCAAGACTGGTTCATGAACCCTTGGCTAGGGAATAACCTTGCCTAAAGTTGGTAACTCATGTTGCTCCAAAAGAGTGGCAATTCTCACGACCTTATAGTCGTTGTTAATAGCATCAAAACCAAAGCCAATAGAAGCATCATATCCACGATGCGTGCTAAAGGTAACATCAGGCATGGGAAGGGTCACTAACTTCCTAATGGATGGATTCCATATAAAGAAGTTGTAAGCATAACAGAACATATCATCCACAAGACAGATCAGCCCGTCACAAACTCCAACTACACGAAGAAATGAACCTCGTCAAAAGCCTGGTTATCAAAATGCAGAGAGTGAACCTCGTCTGTTACCTTGCAACCCGTTTTGGAGAGAATGGTTCTCTTCTTACCACAAACCCTGTGGAGCAGGAGGAGGTGAGTGCCATTCTGGCCAGCAAGATTGCCTCTTCGGGTGAGATGTTGCTAAAAAAGCTTCGGTTTATGATCATGGACCTCCATGTCTTGCACACTGAGGTGCATTTGACCAGAGACTTAGCAGGTAGCCTAATGAGGATCTCGTGGACGATTTCCGGAGGAAAATCCCGAGGACAAGAGGGTATCATCCCTTCCAATTTCAGTTCTTGCATTTCTTGTATGATATCCATGTCTTGCACATCCAAATATTTATACACCAACTGAGAATAACAATATAAACAAAATAAATAAATATCACCAAAAAATATACAAATAAATCCAACAATAGTCAGCAATAAAAAACCCTAGACAATCAGATTTTTCAGATGAAACCCTTTTTCCACTCAATAAATACAAAATCGAAAACCCATCAGAGAAAATCAAACGCTAAATCCAAACCCTGCATTCTCATCGGAAAAATAAAAAAAGTAAAAAATCTCTGAAAAAAAAAACCCAGAAAAGTAAAAAGAAGAACTTGAGTACTCACAATGTGTGGAGCCGATGAGCCGGAGAACGGAGCTGAGGGAGCGCCTCGTTCTTCTTCTGCTGTGTTGGAGAAGAGGATTGAAGAAATCACTCTCTCTCTCTCTCTCTCTCTACTAGTTTCGAGAGAGAGAAAGTGCCTCGGCGCAAAACCCTCATGGTTCTTGGTTTGATCCTCTGCATTTATATGCTGATGTTAATGCTGCCAGCGTACTCGCTACAGATTAAGTTGAACAATTAAGCTGTATTTTGGCGGGTTTATTGAGGGTTTAAGGCTTAATGCGGAAGAGCCATTCTTTCTGATTTCTATTTTGGCCCCTTATTTTCTACTAGCTTGTGTTTTGCTGCCTTAGTCTTGGACGTTAAACTAAATTGTGCTAATGCAAAAGGAAATGATAAACTAAAAATAAATTAAGTTAAAAGACACGTGTTATTTAAGTAGATAGGTTACACATGGTTTGAGTGCAGAATATATGGTCGCCTCCCACACACTTCTGTTAATCATATCTGTTGTTTTTGTTTGATTTATTCAATCTAATAACCATAAATAAAAAGGTCATGTAAGAGCCTAAAAAAGTATGTGACAACAAAATCCCATTAGTAAATAGAGGAAGCTACTGAAATCTCACATTGAGGACATTTCCATCAAATTTTTGTCAAATATATTCACATGCATAACATGTGATTATCTTGAGGGTAATGTTGTCATAGTTGTGCTTCCAACTCATGGTAATCTAGTAGATGAAGAATACCATACAAATTGATTGATTGTGTGATTTGTGATTAGTAAAGCATCATAACCTCTTTGGTTATAAACTTTTCTTGTATGGATTTTGTGGGTCGTTTCTTTTCACTAGTTTGGATAACATGAGAAGGCAAACAAAGCAGAGCCACCGCAACGCCTCCTCTCAGGTCAATGAGCTTCTATGGCGGCGCCAATGTTGGAAGAGATGAAGGTGGTGGAACCAAAGATGATGGGATGGTTATGTTGGTAGGGCTGGGGTTGCTTGGGGTACCGCAGCTGTTGTAGCTACGAAACTTGTGATGTTTGAGGTGACGGTGGATGTGGTGGTGGTTGTGGAGGAGGAGGTTGAGGGTGCTTGATTAAATCATGCTCCATTGAAAACAATCTCAAAGAAAGGGTGAGAGAATAGCTTAGCATCACCGTCTCCTCCATTGTAAACAATTTCGAAATTATTTAACGGAAACGGGCGCACGGATTCAAGCTGCAAAACCGACATTTCTTCCGTAGATCCGTTCAAGGTTTACAATTACAACAGTCGAAGAATTACTCAATAAAATACACCAGAACTGAAATATTTAAAACTTCCATGCCATGAAAGAACACCGACACTTCGTTCATCTCATAAACTAAGGCACTTGAGACATTTCCCAGCAAGGGACATTGCTAGCTGCATTACAACCAAAGAAAACAGAGGAAAACGCAAACGAAAGCCACTATATTAGTACTCGCAAACTCTTTTAGGCTTTGCGTATAATAAATGAAAGCTAATGCAGAATCTGAACTCTTTTATTTACTTTTTTATGAACGAAACCCAGCGGATAAAACACTCAATGCAACGACAATTCTAAAACTCTTGTATAGCAGCAGGACCATGTACGATATGAATACACAAACTCACTATCGAAGCAGCAAGAGCTTCGCATTCCACTGTTTAGCTTCACACCAAGTGATTAATAGGTCAGAAAATTGTCTATGGCAACAAAAGAAAGAAGGGCAATCAGCTAAAACAGGAAAACGAAAGAAGAAAAAAAACGAGAGCCAAGTGCAACCCGACATGCAGTGCTCTTCTTGGTCGGCAAAGAATTGTAAGTGTTCTTGTTTTGCTCTTACAACTACAATCACATTACCTGTTCTTTCTCTTAGTAGGAAGCTGCCTCAGTCTCGTCGAGTAAGAGGAGGTTACCTTCATAAGAATCAACGGAGCAGTATGGATATCCAGAAATCCCAAGACTTTTTAATTGTCCGCTCACAAGATCTAGGGAAACCAAATCAGTCTTTAATTCTTGAGTATCATAGTAAAGGTAATACTCTTGTTCCCGAAGAAGGTTCAATAATACTTCACCATTCTTCCTAAAACATAATGCTCTGGTAAAAGTCTTGTCGGACCTTGAGGACCGAGACTAACCAATTTGGTCCATGACTTCTCTACGCAGTACTCTTTCATCACGAAGGCAAGAAGCATTTATCTTGTTATTCTTTGCAAACAAAGCAACAGATGTTTGGTCTTTTGACACAGACAATTGCAATCCCAATGCGGAACTCCATCTGAAAGTCCCTGGCAGCAATACCTCACGAAATAACTCGCTTCCAATATCAAATGCCAATATAAAATAATAAAGAGCATATTTTGTCCAGCGGGTGACAGGCCAATGAAGAGTCCGATTAACAGAAGGCTCATCTAATGTTTCAGTTGACAAAGTTAATACAGTTTGATTAGGAGCTGATGTATGCACATAATATTTCTTTGACGAAAAAAGCACATAATATTTCAAAATAATTATGAAAAACATATGTAACATAAAGTAGTTTAATTATTTGTAATAAAATAAAAAAATGTATGGTTCCAGCTTCTTTATTTATGCCCTACAGGCATGCAACATGCTGGCCCGGGATAATTTGGGTCGTAATCAAGGTAACATCCGACTTTTGTTTAAAACAATAACCACACTTTCTTTTTTTTTATCTTTTACACATCTCTTTTGGGATGAAAAGAGATGTGTAAAGTGTTAGGAATATAATAGAACCTATATGTAATTAAAGGTTTTACTTTACTTAGCTGTTAAGCTAATTGTATCTATTTATATGATATTGTATTCTTTCAGACTGTAAGATGAATTCATTCAATCAATACACTTCTCTTTCTAGAATTCTCTCTCTCTCTCTACCTTTATCTTTTCTCTCACAGAATCATAAGTTTCTACATGGTATCTTCGCCGTTGTCTAACGACCTAGATCCACCGCTTCCGTCTTCTTGAATTTTCTCACCCTTTCTCTTCTCCCAAACAGATCTTATCTACCTGATCTTCTTTAATTTCTTAAACTTTCTTCTCCAATCTTGCTTCTCTGATGGCGACTGGTGTAAATTCTGCGGATCTTTCTTCTCCGGCTGGTTCTTCTGGTTCTACTGTCGCGCCCAATGTGTCCAATCCGTCTATTTCTTCGATCACTGTTCAGAATATCACTGGCATGGTTGCAACGAAACTCACTCGCCACAACTACATCACTTGGCGTAGTCTCTTTCTTCCTGTTCTGAAACGATTCAAGCTTTTAGGGCTTGTCAATGGAACTGATGTGTGTCCTCCTCCATTTGTGCCTGATTCGTCTGGATCTCAAGTTTCTAACCCCGAATTTGAGACTTGGTGCGATCGTGATCAAATCCTGATGATTTGGATTAATTCAACATTATCTGAAGATCTCCTTCCATTGACGGTTGGCATGGCCGATTCTAGATCTCTCTGGCAATCTCTCGAACGGCGGTTTTCTGGTGCATCTTGTACTCACATTCACAGCCTTCGTTCGAAGATTCAGACTATCCAAAAAGGAGAGTCTTCAATGACTGATTACCTCAACTCTCTTAAGGAAATCTCTGATAAACTTGCCGCGGCTGGCGAACCGATTTCTGACTCAGATCTTGTGGCCTACATTCTTTCTGGTCTCTCTATTGAGTATGAATCATTTATTGATTCTATTGAAACAAGATCTGACTTTGTCAATCCTGATGAGCTGCATGGATTACTCCTGAGTAAAGAGATTTCTCTTCTGAAACGCAAAACCAGAGAATCGTCTTCTTCTTCAGCACCGTTTCATGCTTATACGGCTCAACCTGGTGTTTCTGGTTCCAACAATTTCAGAGGCCGTGGTCGATTTCAGAACAAAAATCGCTACAATTCGAATCGCAATTTTGGAGGCAATCGTCATTACAACAACAATTCTGGCAGTATTCTTGGTCCTGGTCCTAATTCCAGATCCACATTCTCTGGTCAGAATTTCAACAATTCCTTTTCTGGCCGCTCTCTTCAGTGCCAATTATGTCTCAAATTTGGTCATGAAGCTTTCAACTGTGAGAAGCTCCTTCAGTTTGCATCTCAACGATCCAGTCATGGACCTCCTGTTGGCATGACGGCTGCGACTTCTCCTCCACCGAGCTATTGGTTGACTGATAGTGGAGCCTCTCATCATGTGACACCTGATCCATCCTCTCTTAATTCTGCAATTCCCTACAATGGCAGTGATCAGCTGTTTGTTGGTAATGGTAAAGGTCTGTATATTTCTCATACTGGATCTGCCTTAATTCGTACTTCCAATGCTACATTTAAGCTCAATGATGTGTTGTTGGTTCCCAAAGCATCCCATAATCTGTTATCAGTTTACAAATTTGTCTATGACAATTGGGCTTCTCTGACTTTTGATCCTTTTGGGTTCTATATCAAGGACCTAAGAACTGGGAAGATGTTTTTCCAGGGCCTCTGTGAAGGTGGCTTATATCCTTTCTACTGGACTGCATCTAATAAAACCTCAGGAATTGCTCTCTCGCCTACGGCATTGATGATAGCTAAGGCAGATGTTCATCTCTGGCATAAAAGACTCGGTCACCCATCGAGCTTAGTTTTACATAATGTTGTTCATAACCATCAGCTACCTGTTATTGGTTCTGTAAATTCAGGGTCCATTTGTACTGATTGTAAGTTGGGGAAGGCATCTCGATTACCATTTTCTACTTTGCCTTGTACTTCCACTAGGCCTTTTCACTTACTGCATACAGATGTTTGGGGTCATTCTCCCTCTCTTTCATGTACTGGTTTCAAGTATTACCTCATTTTGGTCGATGACTATACTAAATACAGCTGGTTTTATCCTATGGTTTATAAGTCTGATGTTTACTCCACTTTCAAGACTTTTGTTCTCAAGGTTACAAATTTCTTTTCTTGCAAGATCCAATGTCTCAGGTCAGATTCAGGGGGTGAGTTCTTAAGCAAGAATTTTCAGACTTTTCTCAATGAACAGGGTATTACACATCAGTTAAGTTGTCCGCATACACCTGAACAAAACGGCTGTGCAGAAAGGAAGCACAGGCATGTTGTTGAAATGGGTCGGACTCTTCTCTTTCAAAGTGGAATGGCACCAAAATTCTGGGTTGAGGCTTTTCAAACTGCTGTCTACATTATAAATAGACTGCCTCCTCAAGCATCTTCTACTAGCCCTTGGGAAAAACTTTTCAATGCTGTTCCTAAGTATCACACTCTCAAAGCTTTTGGCTGTGCGTGCTACGCATGGCTGCAGCCCTATTCGTCAACTAAACTTGATCCGAATAGCAAGTTGTGTGTTTTCTTCGGCTATAGTCTCAATCATTGTGGCTATCGCTGCTTTGATCCTGTGGCTAACAGAGTGTATATCTCACGGCATGTTACTTTTGATGAACACCTGTTCCCTTTTAAGCAAGGCTTGTTCTCTACCTCTACTTTACCCCAGAGTACTTCATCTCTCAGCTCTTCTCCTATTACTGTCACTATTCCTGTCTCCTCTTCACCAAGCTCTTCCTCGAGTCTTTCACAGCTTGCTAGTCCTGCTGGTTCATCACCACATCAAGCATCCTCTGTACCTGACAGTAATGCGTCCACAACTGCTACTTCTCATCCGTCCACTCCCTGTTTACCATCTGCTCCTGTACCTGCCCCTGCTCTACCTAATTCGCACCCTATGATTACGAGAGCTAAGGCTGGAATTCATAAACCAAAGGTCTTCACAGCAACAAAACATTCCCTTCCAGCTTCTGTTGATTCTATTACTTGTCTTCCTTCCACACCTACCACTTTTTTACAAGCTTCAAAAAATCCCAACTGGATGCAAGCTATGAAGGATGAGTTTCAAGCATTGAAATCCACAGGCACTTGGGAATTGGTTCCGTTTCAGTCTCATTTGAACTTGGTTGGTTGCAAGTGGGTCTTTCGACTCAAACATAAACCTGATGGCTCTATTGAACGGTATAAGGCTCGTCTTGTCGCCAAAGGTTTCCATCAACAAGAGGGTCTTGACTTCTCTGAGACATTCAGTCCTGTTGCAAAGCCTACTACTATCTGAATTCTCTTATCCTTTGCTGTTTCCTATGACTGGTTTGTCCATCAGCTTGATGTAAGTAATGCCTTTTTGCATGGTACATTAAAGGAGGATGTCTACATGGTCTAGCCTCCTGGTTTTGTTGATCAGTCCAAACCTACACATGTCTGCAAACTCCAACGGTCACTCTATGGTTTAAAACAGGCACCTCGTGCTTGGTATGATGCCTTTCACAAGGCTATCCTCTCTTTAGGTTTCTCTTCTTCACATTCTGACTCCAGTCTGTTTATCAAAAAGGATTCTACCATTACTTTCATCTTAGTCTATGTTGATGATATCATCATCACTGGTAGTTCTCCCACAGTTTGTCAATCCATTATTACTCAGTTACAAACTATGTTTCCTGTGAAAGACTTGGGTGATATTCACTACTTTCTCGGTATTGAGGTTCACCGCTCTGCGAAAGGTTTATTTCTGCATCAGTCTAAATATGCTCTTGATTTGCTAAAGAAATCTGATATGATTGGTGTCAAGCCTTGCTCCACTCCTGTTGGTTCTGCGAAATTGGATCACTCTGGTTCTCCTCTTTCTGATCCTTCCTTTTATCGCTCCACTGTTGGAGCCTTGCAGTATCTAACATGGACTCGGCCTGATTTGGCTTTTGCGGTTAACCAAGTCTGTCAACACATGCATTCTCCTCGGACAGTCCACTTACAGGCAGTTAAACGGATCCTTCGATATTTGAAGGGTACCCTTAATTTCGGTCTTTGGCTAACAAAAGGTCCTCAATACCTCACTGCGTGGTCTGATGCTGACTGGGCTGGCTGTCCTGTTGACAGAAGATCCACCAGTGGCTACTGTGTTTTTCTTGGACCGAATCTCATCTCCTGGAGTGCAAAGAAGCAATGCACTGTTGCTCGATCGTCTACTGAAGCCGAGTACAAGTCTCTAGCTCATACAACTGCTGAACTCAGTTGGGTTTGTCAAGTCTTGCAGGATCTTTCATTTCCTCTTCTCAAAACTCCTGCGATTTTCTGTGATAATAAAAGTGCAATTGCACTGGCCTTTAATCCTGTATTTCATGCTAGGACAAAGCATGTTGAACTCGACTATCACTATATTCGAGAAAAGGTTCTCTGTGGCAAAGTCAGTGTGCATCATGTTGCTTCTATTCTTCAAATTGCAGATATTTTCACTAAATCTTTGCCCTCTGCTAGATTTGCCGAATTGGCTTCCAAGCTTTCAGTTCGATCTCCTCCCTTCACCTTGAGGGGGTGTGTTAGGAATATAATAGAACCTATATGTAATTAAAGGTTTTACTTTACTTAGCTGTTAAGCTAATTGTATCTATTTATATGATATTGTATTCTTTCAGACTGTAAGATGAATTCATTCAATCAATACACTTCTCTTTCTAGAATTCTCTCTCTCTCTACCTTTATCTTTTCTCTCACAGAATCATAAGTTTCTACATAAAGATCATTTATAGAAATTACTTGTTTTTCGAGACTCCACTATATATAACTATAGTCTATAGGTTTTGATTGCCAACTCATACTGTAACTAGACTTGGTTGCATTTAATACAGAAATTTGGAGAATAAAAAAAATTTACTTTTTTTTTTTGTTTCCAAAAAGTCAAAAACTAAGCGATTGTGAAATCTTCTAAGATGTTAATGGATAAAAGAATTGAAGTTGGTTGAATGTATTTGCCGAAAGAACCTAATCCTTTTTTGAAAAAAAAAATTGACATTAAATATTCATATATACCCTTGTAACTTGTTACCAAAGGACCATGAACAATTGGACTTGCTTTTTTACTGAATTCAATTTTACATCCTCAACTAGTTGGAAAGAAAATTAATTAATAATTATTGCTCCAACAATGTTACAATAATGCAACTAAATAAATGACCTCCTATAAATAATTAAAACCTTTTGGATACGAAAATTAAATTTACACCTCAGAAATACATCTCACATGGGATACCACCAACTACATAGGACATATGTTGTTCATGCAGGGATGACAGTTAAGGTATGTAATCTGGAGTGCACTTAAGAAGAATCACTATCTCGTGACATATGTCCAACAATAAAGAAAAAATATTTTCCTTTTATTTTTTTCTGAGCTATTAGAAGTATTTATGTACCCAAAAAAAAAGTATTATTAAACTAATTTCAGTACTAATAGTAATTGTCACATATTGCATAAATATATGTTAATTGTAGGCAAAAATATACAAAAAATTTGATAAATATCAACAATAAGTACACCGTCAAATGAAACCTCACACCATCTTATTTTTTTTAGTTGTGTTATAGTTTAGAATAAAAGAGTACATGAGTACGTGCTTGAGCAAGCCAAAGATTGAGCTGGAAAATAGTTTATGGTTGAGTTAATTACATAGGATTAGTAAGTGCACCGTCAAATGAAAGCCTTGTACATTTTTTAGCATGCGTTATGGCTTAGGAGGAAAGGGTGAGTACGCACTTTGGCGCGCCAGGATTATTGGGAAAATAATTTACCGTTGGAGTTATAAACCCTAGAAATTTAAATTAAAAAATTGTTTTATTTTCTACTAGCTAGTACCTACTACATACCTTTCCTAATAATACATATACCAGCAAAGAAAATTAACTAGTAATTATCTGAAAAAATAGCAATATATGCATATATATTTATAATATTCGCAACCAAATTTATTTCGTACTTCGTAAAAATCATAACATAAGCATTCCAACTAGAATCAAAGACAATGAAAAAAAACATTTAAAGTTCAGCTAGAATCATCAATCAAGTCTTCCAAAGTCCAAACTAACAACCCAACAACACAAAAATCAAACAAAATCTGCAAATTGGCTCACTTTTTTTCTTTGGGGTTTCACTCGGCAAGTGTGGGGGAGAAATCATAGGTTAGGGTTTAGAGTTTCTAAAGGTTTTTTTTTTAATATTTTGGGCTTAAAATTTGGCAACACATTTGAGCTTACAAATTGAGTTTAGAAAATAATCCCCAAAATAGATAATTAAATAAATAAAATAAATTTAATTAATTCGGTTCGGTTCGGTTTGGTTTCTAGACCACTAAAACCAAACCAAAAGAATTTGATTTGGTTCGGTTTTCGGTTTTTTGAACCCACCCCTAATGCCCACGATGCTTACATGTCACCAGACTTAATGACATGGGCTATGAACTATTGGGTTTAACAAAGACATTAGCACCCAAATTGCGACTGATGTAAGTGCCTATGCTGACTTGTCTGAGCATTATAATTGCAGGTGTCTTCTGATGAGTTGGTAAGAAGGAGTTAAATTCTAATTAAACCCTTGGAGAGGAAGCCTCTAACACTATATATACATGTAATATGTTACCCTCATTTTCCAAACAGATTTTCTAGCAGCAACTGTCTGAGAGTATCAGTCTCTGAGTGCTTCTCTCTCCTCAACTGAATTCCTTAGGTTTCACCATTTGTTCCCTAGATTTGAGCTACATATACTTGTATATATACATATATCTGTCTGTGTCTGCATATATATCCCCACATTTCTCTATATATATGATCTATCTGACCTTGTGGACTTGTACGGCTATCTTTGATCTTAAGGTTTTCAAGATCTCAGCAACCTCCAAAATAAGTGACCTGGTGGACAAACATGTTATCAGTTTAGAAGGTGAAATCTTATCCATGCATGTCAATGTTCGGATTTTAATTATCAGATAAAAATTGGTCTATATGGTTAGCCCTTTTGTTTAATTTGTTCTCATTCAGTGAAGGAGGGTTTTGAATATATCACCAAAAAAAAAAGGAAAACAAAATAAAAATAAAAAAAATAAAAAAAAGGAAGAAATTTAGGGTTTAAAATCGTTTATTTATTTATTTTTTTTTTTTATGGCATGGGTTTGAATCATTTGATGAAAGTCTATATATATATATATTAGAGAAAGAGGGGTGTGACTCGAAGGATTTGTTGAAGGAAAACGATATGAAAAGGAAAAATTATTAAATGGGAAATTTTGTATAGCAATAGGTGGAGGGAATTTCTATTGAAATTCAAACCAATTTCTCTAATTCCTTTCAGAATTATATTTCTCATTGCTCCTTTTTATTAAGATAGATCCAATTAATTTTCATAACATAAGCCCTCTAATTAATATGAAATAACTAAATCGTAATGATTATTGGACTCAGATCTAAAGCACATAACCTAATTTACCAACTAGTAGAGATCTTTATTATAATAGCTTGTATTGATTCTTAATATTTCAAGACCTAATTAATTTTCCTAATAAAGAATAATTCTGCGACACGTGTTCGTACGGATATAATATTTTCAAAAAGAAAACGATTAAGTGTATGGTTGCATCTTACATGTCATACATGACGACGTGCGTGTTTTTTAAACCTCCACTACATGAAACAGTCAATTGCAACAATTAGTATAGAATTATTTCTTGGTGCCATTTCTATCCTCATAATAATTGCTTTTAGTTTTCCACATTATAGTCGATTGCATAAAAAAAATTTGTGAAAATATGACTTTAGCCCTTCAAACTCAATTTTCTTCATATAAAACCCTACATAATCTTTTTACTCAAAGAAAACCCAATGACTAGAGCAAATTCATTAACTTCATATTAATTCACACATTTTACATTTTTTCACATGCCTAAAATACCCCTATTACATACTTGATGTAGACAATTAATTGTAAGGAAATACTAAATGATTTTGCAACAAGAAAAAAAAAAGACATTAATGTTAAAAATTTATTGCATATTACTTTTTTAGAAAGGTTTTGAATTTTCATAAAACTATTCGATTTAGTTTTTTCACCCTACTCTTGAATACTTTTGAATTTATCCTTCTTTTATTAATATATTAGAACATTGTATTTCATTATCTACATGCACATTTATTTACCTACGAACAATTATACCATGGGTGTAATATAATATCTCTTTTTTACAATGATGCAAAATAATGTTTATACCAACAACAAAACGTGCCTAACATATTTACTAATACATGGAAAATAATTTACCTATATTAAGAAGAAATGTAGTTCGATGCATAGTATTAAAAATACTATGTTACACCCATGTTTATACAACAATAAACCGTGCCTAACATTTCTAACAATACATGAAAAATAATTTACCTACAAGTTAGAGAAATGTTATTTGGTTGGGTGTAGTATAAATTTTTTTAATAATTGGAAAAATTAAATATAACTAGGTGTAGTGTAATTTTTTTTTATATAATTAGAACAAATTAATTTACCTACCTACTCTTTGAAATGTTTATTTCCAATGATGCAAAATGTTCATTACCTAACTACAAATTAATTTCCAATAATTTACCTACAACAATTATACCATGGGTGTAATGTAATATCTTTCTTTACAATGATACAAAATATTGTATGTACCAACAACAAAACTTGCCTAACATAAGTACTTGTACATGGAAAATAATTTACCTGTAACAAAAGAAATGCAGTTTGATGTATAAAATCAACAATATTATGTTCCACTCATGTTTATACAACAACAAAACGTGTCTAACACATATAAAAATACATAGAAAATAATTTACCTACAAGTTAGAGGAATCTTATTTGATTCAAAATATATAATATAGGTGTAGTATTTTTTTTTAAAAATAATTGGAACAAACTAATTTACCTACCAATTAATATGAATAAAATTGCTACAAAATATATCACAAAAAAAAAAAAAAAAAACTACTTTTCTAGTTTGCAATAGATACGGTTAATGCAAACACTTTTTTCATTTTATTTCACTTTTTCTACTACTTTTAATTTGGCATAAATTTAGGAATTTGGAAAAGGGACCATAAAGTATGAGTGGCATGAGTGTAAATAAGTTGTATTAATAGGTCAATAGTGTTCCTATATGTTTGCAAATTTTAAATTTGGGCTTAAACTGGATTTTTAAAGATAGATGAGTTTTTATCTAGAAATAATGAATTGTAAGGGCCAAAATCTAAAGCACCCAAAAAAATTTGAGGAAATGCTGAATGTTGTAGTCCTAACCATTCCTCACTAACCTATAGTTTGTAGTAGTACTTCAATTTCTTGTGCTGGTTGGAGATCGATTGAAATGTATCAAGTGTACGGTGTGGATATAGATATAGTAGTTATGAATGTTGTTATCTGCATATTAACTAGATGGTAATGTATTTTTCATATTTGTAGGGAAATTCAAATCTCACGAGAGCGAATTAGATGATACAGGTTCCTCTAATGAATTGAGATATGTCCCAAATTCGCCTCTTTCCTTTCTTGACAGTATTCACATTTATGACGTGGAACCAAAAATCAACTTGGATGCTGTCCTAGGCAATGGCTTTGGAATATT